TACGAGCACAAACGCCTCAAATTGTTCCAACTGAGTATCATGTTGCTCAGGAAGACAATTCCAGAGGTTGACAGGGCAGTTCACCAAGTCCCTGCACCAAGTGCTCTGCCAACTCCCTATGATGTTGGGAGAGGTGAGGAAAATCACTGCAATTTACAGTAGGGGACATCGTATCCACACCTGGGGTTCCCCCTTGGTGCCTCGGGTAAGCACCGGCCTGTGTCGTAAGTGACGCGGGTTCAAATCCCCCTTCGAACAACCCAAGGTCCAAAAAACAATGTGGCATCACTGGTACCCCCGAGAACCATGGTACCAGTGAGTACGGCCTCTCGTAGAAGCATGAGACCCCAATACAGACTAGTTGGGGCTATCCGGACTGGTTGGCACCCAGAACCTCCGGCATAACGCCCGTCCGTGGCACGATATCCATGAACGGTCAGGGATGTGTAGGCCCTATCCGAAGGACAGTACGAGGTCGTTAAAAATACTAAATGAACCGGCTGTCCCTTAAAAAGAATACAAAATCCGTATCCACATGCACGCTCAGAGAGACGGGTCGTGGGAAGGACTACTAATGCTACCAAGTGTAGACGGGCGCTTCGTAAAGAAGCTGCCACGTACTACGCGGGAACACCTTCAAGCAGCACGAGGAAGCGGATATACCGTCTTACCTCCGCGTGCGGTGGTGGTTGCGTTGGTCGGTCGCATAAAGCGCCGAAACAAATTATTGCCGGCCGCTTAAAGCGGTCCACGCAACGAACAACTAAGAAGTACCTCACTTAAGTCACGCAGAAGCTTGTTTAGCTTCTCGTGCGCAGTGGACGGTAATTAGTAAATTTAAGACTGACTTAGATTTTAGCTAAATGTAAGTTTAACTACTGATTGTTTAGATATAAAGATCGGATACGCGTCTCTTCAGATGCGTATCCTTACGTGCGAGCTTAAACATATATTTAAGCTCGCTGATGACGACTGTCCGAAGCGTCACCATGACGCCCAGTCCCAACTGGCGTCATCCCCGTTGAATGTGAATCCATCCATGGATTTCACATTCACGAGGATGAGTCACATTGATGTGCCTCACCCAAGTGGCAGGCCTAAGGTACATTTAGGCCTGCCCGTTAAGTACTCGATACTTAACGAACCGTGTAACTTTTAGCCCGTTACATTGTAAGGAGTTGACCATACATTGCCCTGTTAACACTGCTCGAGCGCTAGTTCGAGGCAAAAATTGAGCCTCGTTGGGGTGTAGAGCCCAGTACTGGATGCTACTTTTGTAATACATGTATTAGCTCCGTAGTTGATCTAGTATTAGTTATCAAAAATTCAGCAGATAGCTGAAGTCTTTTCTGCGATTGGAGTAAGCTTTAGCTAATTCTAGAATGCCTACATCACCGTGAATGTTAAAGACCGACTCCAATGTTGACTTCGACAGGAGTATGGGTGACCTTGCCGCATACCTAACCCACGTTTCAAAGTGTAAGGTGCGTGGCTGTTTGTATTCAGGCTGGTCAAGCTTTAGAAACTTGTAGACGAGATTTGCATCTACTTTCCGCTCTTCCAAATAAGTCATCAAGTGATTTAAAGCAAATTTGACCAAGCCATCAGTGCCTTTAATCTTTCTCAAGTCCTCAAGAATTGCCACACGCATCTCGTCGTCGCAGCTATCTATCGCCTCCACCATCTCTTTGGTCACGCCCTTTTTGGTGTTTCCATACTCGAGCCACGTATTGAGCAGTCTTTCGCGAACAAGGAGGACAGTTGTTTTGTCAAACCTCAAATGATTGAGGGCTTCTTTCATAGGTGTATTCTCCGCCTTCCAAAAACCAATCAGCTCAGTTTTCAAATCACGTACTACACCTTCTGCGACATCAGCCATTACGAAATCCTCAAGCATCCTCACAGGACCATCAAAACCGTAAAATTCCCAAACCTTCCCTATCATTTCACTTGAAAGTTTTTCGGGTGCCTTTGCCGCATACTTGGCCCACATGTCAAAAGGTAAAGTGCGTTGCTGTATATCACCATGCTGGTTCAGCTTGAACAACTCGAAGACGAAATATGTAACAAGGTACCTAGTTACACGTAAACATAAAGTAATATACTTAATGTTTGGTCTAAAAGTATCCATGATTACTTTTGACCAGTCACTTGGGTGCGATACACAAATGTGATCTACCCTCGTGAATGTGATATCCATTTATGGATTCACATGAGAAGGGATGACGCTAGTTGAAGCTAGGCATCACGACGTCTCAGAAGGACGTCAGTTGCGATCTTAAATCTAGATTTAAGATCATGCGACAGGATACGCTTCTAAAGAGTCGCGTATCCGATCTATATATATATATATAGCCAATCAGTAGTTAAGTATATATTTAGTTATAATTAATTAAATATAGCTCAGTCTTGAATTTACTTAAACATACACACCACGCACGAGAAGTTGAAAGACTTCTGCGTGACGTCGGTGTTTTAGTGTTAAGAAGTTCGTTGCACTCTCGCTTAAGCGAGAGGCAACTGGTGGTACGACTGCTTAAGCAGTCGACCAACCTCCCAACCACCCTCGCACGCGAAGGTAAGACGGTATAACCGCTTCCTCGCTTGTGCATAAGGTGTGTGCTCGTAGTACGAGGCAACTTCGTAGAAGTGCCCGTCTACACTTGGTAGCACTAGTAGTCCTTCCCACGACCCGTATCTCTGAGCGTGCGTGTGGTTAAGATGGTCCTTAATATGGACTGGAGTGACTTCCCTCACCTCTCCCAACATCATAGGGAGTTGGCAGAGCATATGGCGCAGGGACTTGGTGAACAAGCCCTGGTCAACCTCTTACATTGTCCTCCTGAGCAACATGTTGCTCGGTTGGAGCAATTTGAGGCGTTTGTGTTCGGACAGCGTAGAAACGCGTCCGAGGTAAACAGCCAAGCCACCGCCGAGTCCATCACTAAGAACTCAGGATGAGCTTAGGCTTGAGCAGGCACGTAATGAGGCGCTCAACAGGACTGTTGAGACGCTCTCTGCCCGGCCTGCTCAACCGAGGCCCATTCGGATGGACCCTCCGAAGTTCGATGGAACTAGCCCTCACACGATTGTTCACTGGCTATTAACAGTGGAGCAATGTGGAGTGGCGCAGCTCATCGAAGACGACACCAGAATGGTGTCGTATGCCATGTCCAACTTACGTGGCAAAGCTTCAGAGTGGGCATACTCTGCGCTGATGGCTAATGCTGATGCATTTCCATCATGGGCGATCTTTAAGGCAAAGATTAGCGCCATGTATCAGCCGCCTAACAACGAAGTGTTGCTTATGGCACGCTTCTTTGGAGCACGACAGGCGAAACGCTCTCTGCAAGAGTTTGTGCAGGAGATGCGTTCGCTGTCGGCGTTCATCAATGGGGAACCGATACCAGAGCGTATCAAGGTGGCCACGTTCATGAATGGACTTAGGCACTGGCCCATCGCGTCAGGCCCTTTTCAGAAAGGTGCCAGCGACGATGGAAGAGTCAATTGACATTGCCTTAGTTGAGGAGCAATCCTACAACAGCGCCTCGGCGACAGCCTATTACAGGCCGTCGTCCGAGAAGTCTGATGCCACTCCTATGGAGTTAGGCAATGCAGATGTGATCTGCTACAAGTGCGGCAAGCGAGGCCATATGATGGCTCGCTGCTATGTCAAACTTGCTGCTGGTGCTAAGGCAGCCAGCAAGAAGTCTTTCAACCCGAAGGGTGGTTCGAAGAACGCGTGCACGACGCACGGGTTCAGCACCTGCCCAAGATGGGTCGGGAAATGCGGGAGCGCAGTAGGGGCGGGATGCCCTACTGTCGCGGACTCTGAAGCTACCCCTAAGTTCAGAGTGATCGAACAAATGGGTAGCATAGTCCCTGAGGTTCCGAAAGGTCGGACCTCAACCCTTTTGGTCTATAGCGCTCGAGTACGAGGCTATGACCAAGTGATGACCCTTCTCGTGGATTCGGGTGCATCACAAAACTTTGTGAAACTCGCGGCTCTGAAAAAGAGACCGGCGAGTTATGAGTCGCTTTGCCAGGATGGCAAGCGAGAAGAGGCGATCGTTCGTTTAGCGAACGGCGCGCTCGTCAAATCGGAGGGAGTTCAAGTTGAACTCGCCTTCAGTTTCAGTGACTTCTCTTGTAAAGAGAAGTTCACAGTGCTAGGTATGGAGAGTCCGTATGACCTCATCCTAGGCATGCCTTGGTTGGATAAACACCAACCATGGATAGACTGGCGTACACGCACAGTCGCTAGCTCTACGCAAGACACCGGAAAGGATGTGCTCTTGCGAGAGGCTTATGTGGCTGATGCTGTGTCCAACACAGTCGAGGGTGCGATGACGGTATGTCAATCGACACCAGGAACTACCCAGCTCGAAAGGAGTGGTGTAGTTGTGAGTGCACTGGCGGAAAGCCAGGTGACACATATTCCTACCCAGGTCGAAAAGACTGGTGTAGTGAATGGGGCGATGACAGGTAGTCATGCGTCCAATGGTCCTACACAGAGCCGAGAGCCTGTGGCAGTTGATGGTGGGCTGACAGGAAGTCAAGCGCCACAAGAACCGGCACAGAGCCAAGAGCCTGGTGCGGTTGGAAGGAGTGCGTTAGCTGAGATAGCAACGACACCTTCTTCCAGGTCAAAGGTCGTGGTGACTCGAAGAACGAGCACCAGACGTATTAAGACGATCAAGGGCACGTCGAAACGAGTGACCCTTGGATCAGTCTCGGTCCAAGAGGACGGACCTACGAACGAGTTGTTCGAGGCCGTCGAAGACAAAATGCCGGAGGCATCCTCAGTTGAGGTGCTCCAACTTGTCTTGGCATCTGCCGAGGAGATAGTAAATCTCTCGGATATGACGTGGGATCTGTTCCTGTCCGAACTAAAGGAAGGAAAGATCCACGAGATAGTCGCACCAGTTCCAGAAGAGAACGTGGTGGACTGTTGCTCTTCATCCACAATGGATGAGAGCGTCTTGGAGACCGAAAAAAAGAAACGGTTCGCTGCTCAAGGCTGGGATGCCTTGAAGGACAGCCCGTTCTATGATGTTCTGTGGAAACACCGTGATTTGTTTCCAGCAGAAGTGCCGAGCCGCCTACCGGCCGATAGGGGCATCAGGCACGAAATTGACCTGGAGCCTGGCACCAAGTATTGTGTGACCAGGCAATGGCCGTTGCCGAAGGAACAAGTCGATTACATCGATGAGTTCTTCGACAAGCGAGCTAAGGCGGGACATGTACGTGAGAGCAAGTCGCCTCACTGCAGCCCGACCTTCTGTGTGCGTAAAGCAACAGGTGGATGGCGCGTGGTTCACGCTTATAATAAGCTGAACACGGCCACCATTCCAGCTCAAACGCCGATCCCGCGGAAAGATGTTTTGTTGAATTCCATGGGAAAGTCAACTATCTTTTCCGCGTTGGATCTGAAGGATGGCTACTATCAGGTTCTCATGAGAGATAACGATGTAGCCAAAAACGGCAGTAAGCACCCCAAGCGGTATGCTGTGGGAGTGGCTTGTGATGCCACAAGGGTTGAAAAATGCTCCGGCAACATTCAACCGAGTAGTGGCTCACGTGATGCGTCAGCACCGTGCCTACGCGCCCCATTACTTTTACGATGTATTCGTGCATAGTAGGGCGGAGGACGGTCTGAGTGCAATAGAGTCGCACAAGCGTCATTTAGACGCTGTGGTTGCAGACTCTGGGTGACGCCCAATTATACGTGAACTTGCAAAAAAAAATAGGGGTCCCCGAGATACCTGTACTGGGCTGCATCGTAGGTGCACATGGTGTACGAGCAGACCCAAAAAAGGTAAAGGCTGTAAAGGAATGGCCAGTCCCACGACATGTGAAGGATCTGCGCCAATTCCTTGGGCTCGCTATTTACTTGCATAAGTACAGCAAGAATTATGCGGAGCAGACCAAGCCATTGTCTGACCTTTTAAAAAAGGATACAGAATGGACTTGGTCAAAGGAACAAGAAGATGCGTTCACTTCAGTGAAGCAATCTCTTAAAGAGGCACCGGTCTTGGCATTGCCAGACGCGGATAAGCCCTTTAGCGTCGTCTGCGATGCAAGCAATTTTGCAATCGGCAGCGCGCTCATGCAGAAGGATGACGACGGCGTTGACCGTGTCATTTCTTATCAGTCTCGGCTTTTAAAAGCTGCCGAGCTGAATTACCCTGTGCATGACAAGGAGCTACTTTCAATTAAGTATGCCCTTGTGAAGTTTCGAGTGCACCTCTTGGGCACCTGAACCTTTTGTGTTTATACGGATCACGCATCACTGCGGACCGCTATAAATTCACCGCACCTCTCGCCGAGAATGGCGAGATGGCTAACATTCTTCTCTAAATTTAATTTCAAAGTTGAATATAAGCCGGGTGATGCCATAACAGGCCATCACTGTAACTAAAGCGATTAAACTTCGCTTTGGAGTGCGACGGAAGGGTAACCTTTCGTCCATTAAAATGATCCAACAGCAGGCGACAATGTTCGTCCTGACTGTAACACTCCTTGATATAAGTCGAATGTCTTGGCTGACGCGTTATCGCGCAGACCAGACTTCGAGGCAAGACACCAGGAATGTGTGTCTCGTGCGAATGCACAAGTTGAGTCGTCAACATTGGCAGCCATGAAGGCCTACCATGTGACGAGCTCAATGGCCTCCGATATCAAGGAGTGTTACAGTCAGGACGATCATTGTCGCCTGCTGTTGGATCATTTTGGTGGACGAAAGGTTACCCTTCCGTCGCACCTCAAAGCGAAACTAAATCGCTTTAGTTACAGTGATGACCTGTTATTGCATCAACTGTCACCCTGTGATCCCTTGAGAATCTATGTCCCTCATGACACAGATCTCAAGCTGATGAATACTTCACGAGTGCCATGATGCGCCATCTAGTGGGCATCTGGGCCGTGAAAAGACATTTTTACGAGTGTCAGAGGAATTTTGGTGGCCCCACCTATATCGGTGGGTGGCCAACTATATTCGCTCTTTGAAGAGTGTCAGCGCATAAAGCCTGCACCTTCAAACAGTGCGCCACTGAAGCCACTGCCGATTCCAACTGAATGTTGGAAGTCGGTCAGTTTGGACTTCATGTTTGGCTTACCGCCTGACCATAAAGGCAGGACGGGGCTCGTCGTCTTTGTAGACAGACTGAGCAAGATGGTGCATTTGGCACCATGTAGCACCAAGATCTCAGGAAAAGAGGCTGCCCTCTTGTTCCTGGATCACGTGTATCGACTACACGGGATGCCCGAGTCCATAGTATCGGACCGGGATCCACGTTTTACGTCGGGTTTTTGGCGACATGTGTTCGAGCTGCTGGGTAGCAAGCTCCACATGTCAACCGCTGATCATCCCCAGACCGATGGCCAAACAGAACGGGCCAATCGAGTCGTGGCGGATGTGTTGCGTACAGTAGCGACTTCAAAAGAATGGAGCAAGCAATTGCCATTCGTGGAGCTCGCTATTAATAACAGTGTTCACGCCAGTACGGGTGAAACACCGTTTTACATTAACGGACTGCGTCATCCTCGAACGCCAGTCTCGTTTGTGCGCAGCCCGAGTCTTAGTGGGGGAGGGCCCCTCACTTCGCTCGGTGCGAATGCCAAAGAGAGCCAAGGTTGCCCTAGTGACACTGCTAGCTTAGCAGTGGTCACGTCACCTATAGGTGTCACAGAGGAGGCACGGCAAGAAATGCCAGTGCTCCTTGATGATGACACTATAGTGTTATTAACAGCGTCGACCCATGAACGACCTCTTGGAGGCGTCATCGGCGAGCTGGATGCTAAAAGCGTGAGCGAAGCTCAGCGCTTTGTGGATGAGCGATTAGCCATCACACGTAAAGTCCGTGACGCGATGGTAAGCGCACAGGACAAGCAAAAACAATATGCAGACCAGCATGGTCGCAAAAACAATGAACACTTTAGTGTGGGGGACAAAGTGCTATTAAGTACTGCTACCCTACCTAAACATGCAATCTCTGTACTACCTGGTGGTACTACTAAGCTATTGACCCGATTCATTGGGCCCTTTACAGTGGTTGAAGAAGTTGGAGACCTAAATTATAGGCTCACTCTCCCACCGTATATGAAGACTCACCCCGTATTTTACGTGGGTCGTCTGAAGCGGTATGTTTATCCAGAAGAGATCACATATCCACATCGGTCTAGCGAGACCGATGGTGACGTCGACTGTGAGTCGAGCGTCGCGACCGATCAGGCGACGAGGAAGCCGAGAGGCCCCCGTATACGAACGAGGCGATAGAGGACTCGACGATCGAGGAGGACTCCGCGCTTGACGCGGGTCTCTCATCACCAGTCGCTCTAAGATGTCCAAACGGGTCTTCAGGCGGTCATACCCCTGACGGTCTCTCGCCCTCACATCGCGCAGATACGAGGTCAGTCGCGAGACTTGACTCTCGAGATCTGTCACCTGCCTCTTCAGCGCAGCGGACTTAGCCTGCGACTGAACAGCAGCAGGGTAGGCAGCCGCGAGTAGGTGGGCGTAATCGCCGCTCCTATCGGGCGCCACCTGTGCTGGTGGACACGGAAGGGAATACGCGCTTCCTTGTTGGAAGGCTGTTGGCCCACCGGTTTGTGAAGCGAAAGCTCCAAATCCTTGTCCAGTGGAAGGGTTACCCAACGAGCTTTGACTCATGGGAGCCTGTGGACGCTTTGCGCGTTGAAGTGCCTGGGCTGGTGGCTGCTTATGTGAAGCAGCGCCCGCTGTCTTCTTTCTGCTAGGTCCGGAAGGGCTAGCAGAAGAAGCGTGGCGAGAATTAATTGGAGGTCGCTTATTGCCCATAATTTCATGCGCACGCTTCATGGCGAAGCTGATTCGCTGCGACCGCTGTTTAGTTGCATCTTCATGCAACGTTACACGGCGCCAAAGTTCAGCTTCATAGTCGTCGGCTGTTTCGTTAGAACGCAGCACGACTGGAATTGGGAAAGCACGACCAAGTGCTTTGCCCTGCTTTTTCCACAAAGGAAAGACGCTATAGAATCTATGAGCGTCTATAGTGGCACGCTGCAAAAGCGCTGCACTAGACCCATCCGAGTTCATCCACTCAGATGGAGGTGGCATTGGTGGCAAGCCACCACTCACGTAGCCGCCCTCGCGACGGCGGGCTAGTGAGGCCGAAGGTGTGCTTGGTGGAGCTTTAAGCTCACACTCACCTGAGTCTGACTCTCCATTATGGATTGTCAAGACATCAGCTTGAGGAGTTACATCTGACTGAGTCGCGACTACTCCTTTTGAGTAGCGTGCTCAGTCTTAGTCGCTGCGCTCGTAGGCGCAGACGACGAGGCGTTCCCTTCGCTTGTAGGAAGCATAGATGCTTCCTCAAGGACGGGTGCTTCAAATGATGGGGACATATGTCCCATCAATGCACTATGCTCATCGCCACTTTGGGGTGATGGAAATGGCGTAGTCTCATTGTAGTCTACAATGAGAAATGGATATTCATCCACATTATCGTGAGATGGAAGATCCACCCCAGTGTCTGACGCACTTTGCGACGGCTGCGATAAATCGCGGCGCGTGCGCTTAGTGCTGGATTGCATGGGTTCCTTTGCAGGCGACCCATCAGCCTTACCACGTTTCGGTGGCATGAGTACTGAGCAGACTAAAGCGGCGCGTTTATAACGGCTCGCAAGTCTCTCTGTCTCTTAGGCGATGTTTTACAAAATGTAAACATCGTTCTAAAACGGGGGATGGTGTAACAGGGCAACTTGTTACACGTAAACATTAAGTAATATACTTAATGTTTGGTCTAAAAGTATCCATGATTACTTTTAACCAGTCACTTGGGTGCGATACACAAATGTGATCCACCCTCGTGAATGTGATATCCATTTATGGATTCACATGAGAAGGGATGACGCTAGTTGAAGCTAGGCATCACGACGTCTCAGAAGGACGTCAGTTGCGATCTTAAATCTAGATTTAAGATCATGCGACAGGATACGCTTCTAAAGAGTCGCGTATCCGATCTATATATATATATAGCCAATCAGTAGTTAAGTATATATTTAGTTATAATTAATTAAATATAGCTCAGTCTTGAATTTACTTAAACATACACACCACGCACGAGAAGTTGAAAGACTTCTGCGTGACGTCGGTGTTTTAGTGTTAAGAAGTTCGTTGCACTCTCGCTTAAGCGAGAGGCAACTGGTGGTACGACTGCTTAAGCAGTCGACCAACCTCCCAACCACCCTCGCACGCGAAGGTAAGACGGTATAACCGCCACCTCGCTTGTGCATAAGGTGTGTGCTCGTAGTACGAGGCAACTTCGTAGAAGTGCCCGTCTACAAAATAAATAGATTTTTCCTCACTTCGCAACGATCTCATCAGACTAGCATAGGCAAATTTGACCACTTCATCACTGCCGTTAATCTTACTCAAGTCCTCAAGAATTGCCACACGCATCTCGTCGTCGCAGCTATCTATCGCCTCCACCATCTCTTTAGTTACGCTCTTTTTGGTGTTTCCATACTCGAGCCACGTATTGAGCAGTCTTTCGCGAACAAGGGGGACAGTTGTTTTATCAAGCCATAAGTGATTGAGGGCTTCTTTCATAGGTGTATTCTCCGCCTTCCAAAAACCAATCAGCTCAGTTTCCAAATCACGTACGACACCTTCTGCGCCATCAGCAATTACGAAAGCCTTAAGCATCTTCGCACGGCCTTCATCACCGTAAAGATTCCACACCTTTTTTCTCAAGGATTTCGACAAAGAGTTGGGTACCTTTTCTGCCACATACTTGACCCACGCGTCAAAGTGTAAGGTGCGTAGCTCTTTGTCACCAGGCTGGTCAAGCTTGAACAACTTGAAGACGAGATTCGCATTTACTTTCCGCTCTTTCAAATAAGTCATCAACGCCTTAAAGTGTTCGGTGCGTAGCTTTTCTTTGTCAAGCTTGAGTGAAGTGAAGGCGTTCTCCACAGATTCTCTCTTTTTCATCAGATTCTTATAGAGCCTGTTTTCTTTGAGATGTGACGCCGGCGAGCTGACAAATTTAGTGAGCGTCTCGACGGTAGGTAAGAGGTCCCTCTCTTCTTTATTTGTCTTTGCTCCATCTCGTAGAAACTTCTTGGGAGGAACATTGTAGTGATCAGGCGTTATTGAAGTCACCATTGTCGAATCCGGCCTAGCCGACGACGCGTTGATATGGTCGAAGAGAACGATACTAGCCCTGAGGAGCGATGAATACAGACGCATGTTTAGTTTCTTGTTTGCTAGCGAGGTTTTATAAGAAAGTTGGAATGATCAACTTGCGTTGGTCACAAATTGGCAATTTCATCTGTTTGAGATGAATGAGCAATTGTCAAGATTGCTGTTGAGGATTTGATACGACTATGTTCTTCCATCTTATGGCTGGTAGACTTTGCTGACCGGTCGTAACTCAAATTTTTGTTGTAGCATGGACAGCTTCGGAGTTGTACAGATCGTCTATTTACATATTGTTAATTATGTGCAAGATCTCTGGAAAGTCCTGAGCCAAATTGTCAGTGCCGGGGTGGCCCGGCGGTATATCGTGGCCAGCCACCGTAGAACTGGGTGGATTCAGAAGACGCGCTCAAGCAACTCGATGCAAGCATAAAGCAAGGCACCATGTATGGCTGACGCTATTTTTCGATGCTTTCATTTTGCGAGTCGGAGCTGACAAAGGCACAAAGCCTAAAACTGGCGATGCTGGGAAGGTGGAGTGTGGCAGCCCTTGTAGACCTGTCGAATCAATTCATGCTTGACATAATGTCGCGAGGACGTGCCAAATTTGTGTCCAGACGCGTTTGTATTCACCCACGTCATCCTGAAAACGACCGCCAGGATTTTTGTTCGGTACACAGGTATGTTGTCAATCCGTCGACTGGCACAGCCCCAGGAAGGTGTAGGTCAATTGACGGGTGACTTGCTGCCCGGTCCAGTGACTAAATAAGTTTATCCGAGAGCGCAAGCACATCCAAAATAGATGGACAATGGTCGCCTCACTGCCTCTGCAGGCCGGTCTCTTTCTGCAACAATTGTTTTCGTTCCGCGCAGCGTGATACATCTCGTTGCCATGCCCAGACTTGATATGGTGTAAGATCATTACTATGATACCACCCGTGTAGGCGTTAGCCGGACCGCTGCGCATTGCCATTCATCCGTCGTTGCCGATTGGGAAAGCGATCAACAAGAACCAAAAGTTGATGAGCAAGAACTTTTTATAGAACCGGAAAGCTTGCTTGCTAAGGCCTTCGTGATGAAGTGGTTCAACGTTGTGTCCAGCACAGACCAAGGGAACCGATGAAGCTGCGGACTCGCCTCAATGCCAGACCTCAAGCTCGATTATCGCGACAAATAGCTTGTCGTTCATAAGGGGAATGAGCTCCAGCAGTAATCCGTGGCAAAACCAGTGTACCCCATCATCAGCTTGGTGCTTGGTGCAGAGTGACGGGCCGGGGTTGGCCCTGGGGTTGGCCATGTGCGATCTCCGTCGAGTGGCCTTCGATAATGCCTTCGCCGAGAAGCCTCCAGCGATAGCATCCCAAGCTCGGTGGTGCCTGTCGAAGGCGTAGTGGCGGTGTCGAGTGCAATGCTGACCCCATAAGTAAATCCGGGGTGAATGCAGGAGGGCTGTTGCCCATCGTCGGAGCTTCGTGTCCAAATGGGGGCCGGGTTGGTCCGGAGGTATCGGCACCCCCATGACGAATTCCGCTGTCCCCGTACGCAAGATGTGTAGGTGTTCGAGTGTGTTCGAGGGTGCAGTCCTCAATCCTGTTGTACTTGGTCCTGAACAGCTTATTGCCGCCCTGGTCCCAAATCTAAAAGTTCGCTGAAGGTGGCCCAGAACCGCTTAATTTCTTCCGGCATATCATCATATTCCAGCAGTCGTTTGGAGAAAGGGTCAATAAACGACAACATCAATTCGTCACCGTCCCACCAGCTGGCGACGCGGTCGAGTAAAGCCGTCGAGTGAGCGCGGCTCCACGCGTCAGCTGGACTTGTTGGTCTGTGATCGGAGCGAGCCGTTCGCCCAGCTCTTGCTCCAGCTCCTGACCTGGCGAGCGTGCCCGGCGCGGCGGTGCCCGTAGTTGATCCTAAGCTGGAGTCACTATTGTTTCGTCTGGTCCCCGATAAATCCGCCCCGTTGAGGATTTGATTGCTGATAATGACCAGAGCTGGCACCAGCAGCACTGATGTAGCACCGCTTTGTGCCTACTCAGCCCGTGAACGGCTGAAAGCACCTTAGTTTCGGTAATCAGACTTAACATTCGGTCATTGTCGATAGCAGTGAAGTGCTGCTCTTTCGGGATCGTCGCAAAAGTCTTTAGAGCTGCAGGTAAATCGTTCAGAGCTGTGTTTCGGTGGCTGGAGCTTAGCACTGGTGTCCGTTCAGATGCAACTTATCCGCAATGGACATGTGTCGCTCAAAGGCCCCCATATCGTGCTTGCTTTGGGTTAGTCCACGCATGCGGTTTCACACAGTTTCTGCAACAAAAGCGTGCGCTTGACATTGCACATTCTTTCTCGAGTAGAGACTAACTCATCGCCGTCGTCATTTGCAGAGCACTCGTTGCCTTCGCTCGTGTATTCACCTGCTCACATGCTCGGTATTGCTTACGGGTAAAGCGTAACGCCAGACAAACCTGATTAGCCTTCTGACCCCACGGTGCAGGTGCGGACCAAGCTGACGCTGCGTTGTGTGCACTTCCTATGTTATCTACTAGGAAGGTGCGAGCGACGTCTTCCATCCTTTTCTTGCTCATGACTACAGTACAAAGCCCTGTTGAGTACCCGCTGCGGCACATCGTAGCGTCGAATTATTTACATTCGTCAATCGAGAGTCGACTAGCCTCGTTTTGCGTGGCACTGCCACAACCTTATCGCTGTAGCCCCATCGCATTAATCGCGGCGGCTTCCTGACGAGTCTGTAACGGTGTCAATGCTGGTTTTAAGACATAGCAGACCTGCATTTATACCGATAGAAGAAGCGCGGCCGGAGATGTCAACCATCAGGCACTCTTTTCACCTGCAAGGGTATTAAGACGCCTCTACTTGTAAAACAGAACCTCGATGATCAGTTGATCTTTGTATCGTGCCTTTCGCTTGAGACACTTGAGATAGCGATAGGGAAGATGACACGTTTGTTGCGGAGTTGCGATTCAAAAGTAAAGATAGCAACACAATGCTTTCCTCATACCTATTGCCTTTTACTCTTTACAGATTCGTCGACCGCTTCCTGTTGTGCAACACTTCCGAGCTCCTTGTTCGCGTGTTGCTCAGAATGAGGGACAGCAGGTCTGGGACAGCAGGTCTGGGACACCCTCTCGGAACTTACGACGCGTTGTAGCGTGCGCAGAATCCGCACAAGCTTTGCAATTACAGACTACGGATCTCACTTCGTCCAGGTGGCAACAAGAGATGCATCGAGCATTGTCAGCAGCTTATCAAGCAATTCAGCCGTCGCTCACATCCATGCAGATTCTTTTGCCATGGTCAGGTAGTCCATGAGCTTTGGCTATTCTTTTTAGCGTTTAATCAATAAAAGTGGATACCTTTTCCCAAGATTCCCCTCTCTTTTGTGCTCTATTGGTCGGTATCTCAGCATCACTAAGACCGCACAAGTCTAAAAACCCGTCAGAAGATCAGAAACTCGTTGTCGTCACCATAAGCATCATCGACTGATCTCAGGCATTTTGCTGTGCACGTGACCCTGTTCATTATTTAATGTTGTTGGTTCTTTTTAACTGCACCTTTATAAGAATTTGACAGCCAGATAACGCTTTGCAACAGACATTGAGTCGTGCTTCTGGCTCCCCATCTGACCCTCGAGAACATTTTGAACTGCAACACGCAGAGTTGAATGGCACATTTGGCTTCTGCAAGCATTTCTACTTCCACACTCGAAAGTCGGTCACAATTCTTTATTCAGAGGTCATTGACGGTACTGGATAGTAGTGACGAGGTACGTACAGATTCGTCGTCGTCTCCTTCCATGAACCTGAAGCGCTCGTCCGGCAGTGACGCCAAGTACCGCGAGGACGAAGGAACCGATACTGCAGGAATGGCCCTCCCTGCTTCTTCTTCTTCATCTAGTGGGAGACGGATGAAGGCAGAATCTACTGCGGCTGCTAGAGACGACAAACCGGCTCCCAAGCACCGCAAGTACGAGCGCAAGACAAAGCGCTTCATCTGGCCCAACGACCTCCATCGACTTTTTGTAGCTGCCATTTTTGACGGTGCGTTTACAACAGTCAGACTGTCATGATTTATGGAAATAGCGCTTACTGCTGCTTTTTTATATGATATGCTTCAGTCGGTCTTAAGAATGCGTCACCAAAGGCTCTACTTGCTGTACGCTTGTTCTACTTTTATTTGCGTGGAATGAAGACACAAGTGCTAACATGAATTTTGCTCTTACTAAATGCAGCTAATGGAGGCAGCAGGACCCAATTCTGGACTCACGACGGAGCACCTCAAGTCTCATTTGCAGAAATATCGTCTCAATTACGAGCGTTCTCGAATGGAGTTTCTCGAATATTATGATCGCAGCTCTAAGCACAACCTCAAGCGGCGCCGCCGCCAGGCTCAGGATCGAGCTAGCGGAGCAGGCAGCGACGCCAATACGATGTTCGTGTTCCCCATCAGTAACTCAAAGCGCCGAAAAAGGCGTGGAAGTGACAGTGACAGTGATGATAGCGACTCAGACACCGAAAGTCATCCCACTGATAACAGCGTGCAGGTGGATGTAAAAGAACAGGAAACTCTACAGCGACGACCTGGTTCTCTTACACCAGGTACAGAGACCCATCCGCATAGCATCAACTACTCGCAGCTCACGCAGAGTACACAACAGCAGCCAACGAATGGTCGTCTTCCGCTACAGCCTCCTGTATCAAATGATCGTATGATGCGTGCTGCGCCAGGGCTAGAAACATCTCTAGGTCTGATTCCTATAGCACCTCACCACTTGCCTCCAGCCTATGCCCATACCCAATCAAAACAACCTTCAGACCACGATCGAGATTTGGCGGCAGCGGTAGCCGCTGTGGCAGCATATCGCTCTCCGTTGGGACAGCTACCAGGCTCAGTCGCTGGAGGAGTTGCTGGTTTGCCGGCGCTAACGGATCCGCAGTGGAGCATTTTGAACTCGCTTATGTCGTCACAGCTCGCTGGTATGACTCAACTCGTAGGAGAAGGTGGACTATTTCCGCAAGTAGCTACGGGCGAGGCAATTGCTCGCGGTGCTAATAGCACGGACGGATTAATGCTGCATGAGGAACCGTCTGATCTTCAAATGCAGATGCACCTTGCCATGCAAGCCCAAATGAATCTTCATCGTCAGATGCTTACGCGCAAGGTGGAAGTGGCACAGCATCTTGCTCGCCACAGCAGCATGGGGACAATTAGTAGTAGCTCGGTCACAAACAACAGGAATAACCAGCAAGTTTCCGCAAGATGCTATGGCGAGTCTTGGGGCAATGCACAGCAGCACCAGCATCAGCAATATCAGCAACACCAAGACCAACAAGAACACTATCAGCAGCAGATGAATTTATTATCCCGGCCATCTTTGACCGCCGAGGCCAGAGTAACGCAGGTATCAGCGCCGATAGCAAGTGCGCGAATAGACGCGGTTGTGGCAGCCTCAACAACCAGCGAGACTGTGGTAGCCTCAACATCGGCAGCTGTTAATGGTTCTGCCGAGGCAATTAGCAGTGCAGCTGGACTGCCAACGGAGACGAAGGGTGACGATGACGGGATCGATCTTTACCGTTGGGACCGCATTGATTTGAATGTGGAGCTCGATGATGACGATCTCTTTGATTTTTTGAAGTCATAGGAAGTGCTTTTAAAGGTAACGTAGCTCATGCACGTGTACGTAACAATGAAAAGAGCTTTGATGTACTCCTCACTAGGTCTATTACGCTAAGAATGAGAGGAGCGATCTAGATCGACACTGTAAAAGGAGAAAGTGCGTATCTTACTCAATGGAACTACCAGTAAGCAAACAACCAAACTTTTAGATAAGAAAAGTATGTGCCTGCCTGTCAGCAACAGTTTTTAAATGACGAAATGAAGTCAACAACCTTCTAGCCGTAGTACTAATACTCGTCCCATTCTTGTCACAACAGCGTCATTATCCCTTGTGTATCAAATGGATCTACTGGGCGTCCGTCATCGGCTCCACTCCATCCGTGGATATTTCGACAGGAGGTTTTTCACCGTCCACGAGTCCACGAATGAAAAGGACATTATTGCAGCGCACAAGTGTTTCACCAAGATTTCCAGTCAGTTCTCCATTGATATACTCTTCAGTATTGGCAAGTTGCAAATTCATATACGAATCAACAGACAATAGTATGCCCTTGTATTCCATCCCCCACTTGAGTCGAGTCATTATTGGTTGGCCAGTAAGGTTGGTCAGAAATGGCTTAGGGTTCAAGATCAGACCAGACTATAGAGATACAAGATACAAATGACAATACATCAATTAATTCCAAGGAATTACATTAGATGGCAACATTCATAGAGGTTCCAAGCAATTCATAAGCTCCTTTACGCACCATTTTGTAGAAAAACTTTATTTGTCTAATTAAATTATAATTATACTATGTTATTAGTATATTAATATAATTTAAGTGTTAGCCAATCAGATAACGCGTTTTTAATAAATAGTAAATTGTATGAAAAATTGAAAGGTACTATTTATTTCTCCAATTAGCACGTCAAACATGGCTACATCTACTGTTGTTGCGCGTCTAATGTAATAACCTTATGCTCAATACGTGTGAGAAAATTCTCAAGTGCTTCAGAGTCACGGACAAAGATATTGAGCACGGGAATACCAGGGACCACGTATTTCTCATGAGTTAGTAGCTGTTGCAGCGTGCAAAAGAGCGATACTTCAATCCAAAACTGTGTCTTGGCTTCATGCTTTTCCTCGAGACGAATGCGCTTGACTTCGTCATCGTCTTCTTCCTTCTCCTTACTAAGGCCTATATGCCATTCCTTACGAGATAAAAACGGCAGCACCATGTCTGCTGCAGCATATACAATCAACTTGGACGCCACAAATTCATTCTTAGTGTCCCATTGGGCACATGGACCTTCTTCAGGAAACATGTTGGCCAGATGCTCAATCATACTGTCCTGCTCGCCAAAGTACTCCACAAAATCTGACGTCCCGTGCTGGTCGTAAAGAAATAGCACAGGCCAGTACATGATCCCGCTTTCGGGGTCCAAGTCCGCCTTTCCTTCGTACTGGCGCACACGCTCATCATCCACCAGAGCTCGGCCTACGCGGACACCGCGAGCTGCGCACAATTTGCGGTACTTGTCCGTTGCAGCACGACGATTCATACTTTCTCTCTCGCGCTGCAACTTTTCAATACGCAGTTCCTCGACCAGTTTTCGACCCTCTGTCTGCAACGTTAACAGCATTTTATTGTCCGGATCACGTAAAAGTCCTTCTTTGCAGTAGCGAAGCGTATCCGCTGGTTTCCGGAGCAGTCGAGAAGCCTTGGCACCTCGAAAATAGGCCTTGATATTAGACGGATCAAAGTTAATGGCCTTGGCAGCATCCGAACGACAACTCGCGTAATTCTTGAGTTCTAATTGCACAGCTGCACGATTGCACAATATCTGCGACGTGAGCTGCTTCATGTCATATGACAGGTCCCGTTCCTCATCGGGTAATGCTAATGCTTTGTAGGCATAAACAAGTGCATCATTATAATACTTTATCGCATTCTGGAAATAGCCTCGATGGGCTTTTTTCGCATCTTTAAACATGTCATTGCCTTGATTCTTCCAATGCAACGCGAGACTCTCAGCTGTTTCGCCATCTTCAATTAATACTTTAATAGCTTCCACCATTTCATCACCTTCAATCAAATGGTCTTCAAATAATGTCATATCTGGTAGAGCATCCATATAAGCCTGACGTTTTATTGGATCCCATAATTTACTCTCATCAATTTCCAAGTCAATTCCTACCATGACACAATTCTTTTACTTGTATAAATTTAAATGATTGGTAGTAGACCTTTTCTCGATTAAATACGAATATATACGATAAATAAATGTCAGCTTTATCAAGTATTTTTAGTCTCATGACGGACTTAAATAGTAGCAAACGCCCGTTTAACGACGTGGAGACATCAATACAATTGTCACTTTGCGAACCATCTTCTACTATTGCGTGCTGCAATGAATGTGGCAAGACCAATGTCAAGTATCGTTGTCCTCGATGTGAATATATTACGTGTTCATTATTATGCTGTGTGAGTCACAAGAAAAAGGTGCTGTGGTTTATTAATAAATAAAAGGTCGTGTTTAGTATAAGGTTTTTATGTCGTATTAATTGTATTTGATATTACTATTTTTTTCTTCTTTTATTATTATTTTTGTCGATAGTTTAATTGTGATGGAAAACGTGATCGTACCAAGTTCATACAGATTCAGAAATTTACCGATGCTAATCTTTCCAGTGGTAAAACTTGGATAATGCCTGTCTACATAAGTGGCAGAATATATTGCTATCTTTTTTTTATAGTATGATTATTCTCATGTGGTTTGTGTTGTCGATGTTGCAGATTATTTTTTTCTAGAAGAGGTCTCTCGCTCAACAAACAGTGCTGCAAGATCTCGCAGCCAGCTAAATGCTAATGTACGACGCTATGCTAGCAACAAGAAGCGCAAAGGTGCAACGGATTGTGACAAGACTGGACCTTTGTCAGGTCTTATCAATCCTGACGTTCCTGCGGACTGGTTGGCGCGTTTTCCCGTTGCTGTGCAGATGTTTGCTCAATACTCGGCTAAACGAGGTGTAGCGTTAACGCTTCTTGCTCCAGGTATGAGCAAACGGGCACGCAATTCGTCGTACATGGACAAGAAGAAAAATACAATGTACTGGCGTGTTGAGTGGGTCTTTCCTAGTGCAACGGTGCCCGTGGCTCATTATGAGGAACGAGCGAATGAAAACAATTCACTTTTTGCGCTACTAAAAAAGTATCTAACGCCCACCCAGGTAAGTCTTTGAGCATCACAAATTACTGCTGTAGAGCCTAAGACTTATGAACGTTGTGCTCGCACGCATGTAGGAAAATGTTGCTATGCGTGCAAAGCTCAAAAAGTATGCTGTGCCCGACTGGGAGAAGCATATCTTGCTGCTTTTGCGGAAGGAGTTTACACCGACATCGCAACCACAGTACTACCGACTGAACGGCAAGGAGAGCCTTGAAAGTAATTTAAAGCGAAAGGCCGTGGTCGAGTTTCCTGTGATTATCGTTGCGCTTGTGGCCGACGCTGATAAGTACCTCATAGCTCACGACGTGATTGAGGCAATTTCTTCTGATGCAAACGATCAGCAGCCTGCTGCTGAAGAACCAGAAGCTATGGAGATCGAAGATGAGGGAGTAAATTGCAAGACCTCGATGGAGTTGCTGACAGGCAAAGGCACCAACATTCTGGAGACTCTTGTTGCTGTCTCGGACGAGGAAAGCGAGAAAGTTGAGACTTCTGTACAGCACAAGGGTCCTCTGAAAGAGGAGTTTGAAGCCGCAAAGTCGGTTCTGACATGAGGAGAAAATTACAGCAATACTTGATGAATAAAACGCAGTAGTAAGTGTAGACAAGAAACTGAGCAGTTCATGTCAATTTGCGAAAGTGATTACGGAGCTGTGAGTAGATGCTCGTGGATAAAGTAGCTCAAGTGAACAAGGACAACCTCATAGATCGTGGACCCAGCGGAAAAGCCGACGGTTGTACATGAGCAACTACCTCCTGTAAACATGGCTAGATGATATCGTCAATGCGAGAGTCAAATCGACAAGCGAGGGTCTACTATCTGAAAATGATAGTAGGAAGTTAAACTTGTCTGCAAGCATCGCTGTCAGTCTGTAAAGCAACACGCACCTATCAAAAAATACTTTGCCAGCGAAATATGCAGTTGTACCAAGTGCTTCTGCGCGCCGTGATCGTTGTTGCCTCCGTTTCAGGTTGCAAACCATTCTTGTCTTTGCACAACACCAAAAACAATGAGACAGCACGACATCGGTGAGCAAACCTTCGATGACATTATCGTAAAAAATGATCTGGGTTGCATTCCTGAACGACTGGCTGCGATTGTATAATTCCGACACTTTCGTGTGCATACGTGCACGCGCAATTACGGTATTTGATGTGACAACGAGTTCAATGTGTCCGTGAGCAAAAATACATTTACGATTTGTGGGAGATCTCCAACCTAACAGGACTGTCGTGTGAGGTCTCAGCACGTGCCGACACTCTCCTAGCAGATGTGGACAAGCACTTCCTTCAGTGGTTGGTGCTCAGAATTAGCACATTTGAGTTGTTATCCGCCTCGAATGCAGCATACAGAAGGATCAACTCGCCTATGCTGAAATACGTAAAGACTGCTTTATTCACATAGCCTGATGAATGAATCAACCACACTAGCACTTTTAGTTCGCGGACGGTGTTGCACGTACCCCTTCGATCTTATTCGTAGAAGGCATCATCGTACTCAATGTGATCTTCCATCTTCGTGGCCGCTCCGTTCAAAGATGTCCATGGTATTTCTTGCGCCTTTGTCAAAATGATCGTTAGGGTGTCGTTGTTCACTTCCCACGTCACGTCGGTAATCTCCTGGAACAAATGCGAGATCACCAGACTCTTGACTGGGTCACCACCAGAAGTTGTAAGCAGATCCATCGACAGTGACATGTTGGTCCATTGCTGCCATTAACAATAAGTTCGTTTGTATTACTTGTGTATTCAAAACAATAAAAAAACACATAACAATTGAGCGCGACCCACCACTTTCAATTGCTCCTTCTTCATGTTCGTTACAAGGTCGTCCGTCAGGTAAATACTGTCCATATCAACAAAACACGTAATTTGTGTCAGTACAAACAAGAAAATAAGTTTGACGTCATAGTCACGTATTGATATAATTTGTGCATCACGTGCCTAATAGTTTTCTTGCTGTCAGTCCAACCATAGGACGATATCGACGTCGTCTTGTTCTTAAGGATCGACATGTGAATAGTAGTAGCGGTTTTCACCAATTTTAACCAGATTCTCATCTGGTGTAACCTTCATCTCTTCTTCTTCTTCTTCTTCTTCTTCTTCTTCTTCTTCTTCTTCTTCAAGTGTCTCTTTCATGACATTCTTCTTTTTTAACGTCTCGTTAAGTCTCGTCGAGCATCGCCATAGCATCACAGTCAGTACGACAACTGCCACACTCAATATCACTTGTTCTATAAACCCTTTATTCAGCTTTATCGATCCCCATGGTGTCATTAATTTTATGTAATTTACTTCAGCATACGATACACCCACATATGGAACAAAAAAGTTCTTGTTCATTCTAAATTAAATTATCGATGAGCGAAACGTGGCAGGAATTAAACAATCATGTAAAAAGTTTAAATAAAACTCTCTTTTTAGCAAATATTTGTATTCCCTCTTAAATTCGATTTCATTTTTACGAGCTCGCTGGCCAAACAATAATTGTTCCAAGCTGCTTTGAGTGACGTACGCCATCATGAAGCCGTTGTTTGGAAAGATTGTATCAAATAAGATGCAAAAGTCAGTACTGGTGGAAGTGGCTCGTATTGTGAAGGACCCGAAATACGGCAAATATTACAAGAAAACCAAGAAATTTATGGCCCACGATGAGGACAATTCATGCAGCATGGGCGACTTGGTACGTCTATCAAGCACACGTCCATTGTCAAAGCGCAAACGTTGGAACGTTGAAGAGATTACGCGTAAAGCCGAAATGTAACGACAGATGATCTGGTGGAGAGACTTTATTGACAAAAGAGCTCATGCTCCATGTCTTCTGTTTCTGCTATAGAGGGCAGAAAGATGTCAAGGGGATTGATCCAGTACAAGGACGTTGGGTACAGAAGACACTATGGAAAGTAAATTCGAACTGATTTTCTTTCTACTGATGCACTCGCAATGTCGTTTATGTGATTACAACAACAATCAATCAATGTGTTGCAGTAGTAGGAGAAGCACCAGACATCTCTTTATCTGTAACCTGTTTGCACTAGCAAACTACAGCTCGTTATCGTCGTCTGATAAGTCAGCAAATGGATCGAGCACCTGATAGTCGCCTACTACCACGTTATGCGGACGAACAAAGCCGCCGTATTTGTTCTCGCATTTCCAGTACGTTACGCCCTTGACTGAGCCATTGCCTTTACCAACGGGCTCATCAAACTGCACGCCTACCCAAAAGCCAGGTGCAATCTCTGGAATCTCTCCTATATACATCACTTTTCCACGACGTCCACCAGGCTGCACCTCACACCGATCCCCCACTTTCATATGTATCACACTGTCTGAGTCTGGAAACGTAGACGAATCCGTAGTAGGTCTAGCCACATTCATCATGGTCTTAGGTTTCCAGTTGGGGTCTTTGGCAAGTTGTTCTCGCTTGTATGCACGCACAGTCTTCTCGCCTAGTGCAACAGCAGGAGCATCAATAACAACCACCCACACTGTCAATACACAACAATTAATCTGCAAAACAATAAGAAAATCCCTACAACTTACGTTTGTCATAGTCTTTGTCCGAGATCTCGTACTTTTTGACAAGTGAGACGTCTTCGAGGCCGCCTCCTTTCGAGAGTGAGAATGGATCCTTGTCCACAACATGTAGTCGCATGCCATTCTCCACACTATAGAATCCCAACATTCTCGTATCGTTATCCAAACGATGATATATGGACCCATCGTTACGCATAATCAACAGTTCCATAGCATCTGGCTTGGTTCCTGTGTGTTGATACACCTTATGGCGCAGCTCTCCAATCGTGCTATGCAAGTCCAATCGGATATCCACCATTTGCAATTTGAGATTACTGTGGGTAATTAGTAAGCACACTATTCCGTCTGGGACGTTGTCATACTTTCGGTCGTCTATAGCCGTCACAAAGGAGCGAAGTGCTCGCATATCCGCGGCCATTGTAATCTTTCAGCTTTTAAGATTAAATTATTGTATTACAGTATTACAAAGACAATAATTGTTTTGAAAGTTATAGATCCAATGATTTGACTATATCAGGCATTACACAATGTCGGGGGATTGTGCTTTGACCATGTCCGCCAGATAGAGTTGTTCACGTAAGATATATTATACTTCCTTCGACGAAGTAAATGACGGCATATTATTTTTTTGACAAAAGTAAAAGCAGTTTTATTTATTTTGCTATCTCAATTATGATACTTAGTTATGGAATTGGGAATCAGTTAAATTAATTTTTGAGATGGTGAACATGCCAACGATCATAGCACTCAAAGTGTATGACGTGCTGTTTATAGCAATTATCATGTTCATTATCGATCTGGTTATAAAACTGTGGAATGAACGTGGTACGCAACTGTCTCCAATCGAGCAGGAGCTTATGAACGAGTACAACACGCAAGTGCGACTCGTTAAACGCCTCAATGCAGTCGAGACGTTTGTGGAGCAAGCCAAGGCCACACGCAAGATGAATGCGCTTCAAAGGGAGATCCAAGAACTTAAAGGTGTGTTATAATAGCCAACAAGTGTGAAAGAGGCTTTGAGATATGGTCGATCTCAAGGCAAAACAAGACTGATGGTTGTGGGTCAATGCTGTGTATCATTGTGGCATTGGACAGTGAAGCGGATGGCTGCAAACGCACCTTCGGCGTTCCAGAAGCAATTCAATCGCATTCGAACGGTGAGGTTGCAGTAATGTCTTTGCTGATGTCAATGCTTTTTTGCTACGAACAAGGCTGACTTTTGCTTTCGATGACATTAGCCAGTAATGATGGGGCTGACGATGCTGTACTATTGGAACGAGCCGCTTGTGGTGTTACCTCAAGGCTACATGCTCCCTGTGGAGCGACTGTTATCGATTCCAGCCTTTCCACTTGGTTCTGTCTCCGCGATGGGATGGGCTGGAATCTGTCGTCGCGTGAATGGAAAGATCCTAGGCTAAATGATACTGCGACCACCCGAATCAATGATCTCTCATCTGCTGCTGCACAAGACGAAAAGACAACTCGTACGACGATACTATCGCAAGCAGCGCTTACAGTTTTCTCTCCAAGCAACAAATAAACTGCAATTCAATTGCATCTTTCTGTACGTGAGAAACCACCCAATGTGCTGTGTGCAAAGTCGTCAAATACATGACTGACATGTCAGTTCAATTATGCTGAGTTACTACCCGACCCGACTTGACAGCGGCAGGACACATGACACGGCGTATTGTAACAAGCAACGACGTCTAGTAGTCCTCGTCTCCACCAAACATGTCCATACCTCCGCCCATGTCAACCTCTTCCTCTTCCTCAACGACCTTTTCCTCCGCCTTGGCAGGAGCAGCACCACCAGCAGAAGCGCCAGCAGCAGGGGCAGCACCCACCGACACAGTGGCAAGCTTGGCCTTACCGGCCTTGATCACCTCCTCGATGTTTTTCCCCTCAAGCTCTTTGATGAGCTTCTCGGCCTGCTCCTGATCAAACTCACCGCCAAAAGACTTGATAACCTTTTCGAGGTCAGCCACAGAAGGAGTGGCATTTCCACCGAGCACACACAACAGCAAAGCAGCAACGTGACGCATCTGTATGGAAACAACAGTATAATAGAAATAGGAAAAGTCTGTTAATATGATGGTAATCATTTCTATCTCAAAGTCGCTAGAAACGTACCTTGTTTAAGGTAAAAAGAGGTTTTGATGGCAAATACCCGACGACGTCTTGAACGTTATTGTGTGCTTTTAATGCGCTTGGAAGGCCAGCGATAGCCAATCACTCCACGGACCTTACAAAACACAAGTGAATCATCTCTTTACCAATCAAAACTCGTCTCCTGTCGATACTATTATCGTATTTAAAAGGTACTAGCACACGCTGTACAGTTTCCTGTTCTTTTACATCCACGTGCACGCTGTTATCAGTAGGATGACTTTCGGTGTCTGAGTCGCTATCATCACTGTCACTTCCACACCCCTTTCGTTGCGCTCGTATTTGCGGTGCTTGGAATCCAACTTGTCGTCTATAGCAGCCGCAGTAGATTCTGTTGTGATATGTTCCTCCCAGTGTCAAGAGATATATCTATATATCTAGCATAGCTGGACGCTAGAGAGACTGCAATAAAGCGAGATTGCAACAGATTCTGCCTTCATCCGTATCTTATTAGAAGAAGAAGTAGAGGGGATTGTTACTGCAGTGACGGCCCCGTCGTGCTCACAAAAAGAACAAACAATGCCAAATGATGGACAGGGTCACGTTCACAGCAAAATGCCTGAGATCAGTCGGTGATGCTAAAAAATAAAGACGACGACGAGTTTCTGATCTTCTGACGGGTTTTTAGACTTGTGCGGTCTTAGTGATGCTGAGATACCGACCAATAGAGCACAAAAGAGAGGGAAAAATCTTGGGAAAAGGTATTCACTTTTATTGATTAAACGCTAAAAAGAATAGCCAAAGCTTATGGACTACTTGACCATGGCAAAAGAATCTGCATAGATGTGAGCAACGGCTGAATTGCTTGTTGCTAAACGGCCATGGCAAAAGAATTTGCATTTATGTGAGCGACAGCTAAATTGCTTGTTGCTAAACGGTAAATTGCTTGTTGAAACGGCTAAATTGCTTGTTGTAAACGGCTAAATTGCTTGTTGTAAACGGCTAAATGCTTGTTGCAAACGGAAATTGCTTGTTGCTAAACGGCTAAATTGTTGTTGTAAATGGCTAAATTGCTTGTTGAGCTGCTTTTAATGCTCATCGCTTCTCTTGCAACCACCTGGACGAGATGAGATCCGTAATCTGTAATTGCGAAGCTTGTGCGGAATCTGCGCACGCTACAACGCGTCGTGGGTTCCGAGAAGGCGTCCTAGACCTGCTGTCCCTGATTCTGAGCAACACGCCATTCAACGCAGTGATGTTTGATGGTGACAGACCAGTTGTCCAAGGACTTTAAACGAGAGATGACAGGGGAAGGTCATCTAATTGCCACCTTTCCATTCCCGGATTTAGCGTCTAATTGGTAAAAGTGATGTTTGCACTAAACAGCAACTTCAGTGCACGAGTCTTTTGGACGATTCTTCATGCATTTACGTTTGCAGTCCAGGGCGGTATAAGGGGGCGCTAATTATCTCACTTTCTGTTTTAACGGCGTTCGTCAAAAAATTCAGAAAGTTTTGCATCTCCTTTACGTCGATATTAATAGCAGCTTGCATATGCATCCCTGAAACAAGCAAGAACAAAAAGGTGTCAATGGGCCATTTACAATGAATAGAGGATAATAATAGAGGGCGGCATCTATACAGTACTGATTGTTTTCTTGTTACGTATATACAAACATTTCAAGTTAATTCGTTGTTCGACAATGTCGACTTGGCCAAAACGGTCTAAGCTTTGTTAATTCTACTTCTTTTCAAAAATTAAAAAATGGACTTTTCTACAATAGTAAACGTCCTACTAGATTTGGATAAGGAGGTAGATTGTATCACTTAACATTGAGTAAAGGTAAGAAGTAGCTCGACATATGCTTGTCAGCGGTATCATGAGGACATCACCATCCGAAACATCGCTATACATATGTATGTGCGTATTTCTTCGAAGCTATATCGGACTGGTCATGCCTTAACAAATCAAAGCTACAACCGGTCAGCAAAGTCTACCAGCTATAAGATGTAAGAATATAGTCGTATCAAATCCTCAAAAGCAGTCTTGACAAGTAGCTCATTCATTTCAAGCAGATGAAATTGCCAAGTTGCGACCAACGCAAGTTCATCATTCCAACTATCTTATAAAACCTCGCTAGCAAACAAGAAACTAAACATGCGTCTGTATTCATCGCTCCTCGGGGCTAGTATCGTTCTCTTCCACCATATCAACGCGTCGTCGGCTAGGCCGGATTCGATAATGGTGACTGCAATAACGCCTGACCACTACAATGTTCCTCCCTAGAAGTTTCTACGAGATAAAGCAAAGACAATTGAAGAAGAGAGGGACCTCTTACCTATCGTCGAGACGCTCACTGTAACGGGGTTACACGACGGTTGTAGCGTCTTTCCGAGAGTTTACGGTTGAATTCCCTTTTTATTGCATATAATGCATTTTGATACTTCTCTTTAGAGAGGTATTAAGTATAAGCGTTAAAGATGTTGTTAAAGTACTTGGGTTGTAGAAAGCAAAATGCAAAGTGAATATATTTATGTGGTGAAGTGGTTTCCTAAATTGTGAAGAATCTAGGGTCCAGTTGGATTGAAGGGACAAAGGGCCGTGGACTAGGGAGAAGGGACCACGCACTTGAGAGAAGGGACCGGAGATAATGGGAACCTCGGAGTGAAGCGACCGTTGGCTGAGAATTTGGAAGACAAACAAAAGAGAGGTCATTACCAGGGTACTGTTTAACCGGTACCGAAGGGAGTCGACCATGGCCCTCATTGGTCGACCCGGTCCATCATTGGTCGAACAGGTCCCTCATCGGTAGACCTGGGTCCCTCTCGGTAGACCTCGGCCCCTCGTCGGTAGACCCAGTCTCTCATCGGTCGACCCGGTCCCTCATTGGTAGACCCGGTCCCTCATTGGTCGACCCGGTCCCTCGTCGGTAGACTTGGGTCCCTCGTCGGTCGACCTGGTCCCTCATCGGTCGACCCGGCCCCTCGTCGGTAGACCCAGTCTCTCATTGGTCGACCCGGTCCCTCATTGGTAGACCCGGTCCCTCATTGGTCGACCCGGTCCCTCGTCGGTAGACTTGGGTCCCTCGTCGGTCGACCTGGTCCCTCATCGGTCGACCCGGTCCCTCGTTGGTAGACCTGAGTCCCTCATTGGTCGACCCGGTCCCTCGTTGGTAGACCTGAGTCCCTCATTGGTCGACCCGGTCCCTCGTTGGTAGACCTGGGTCCCTCATTGGTCGAACCGGTCCCTCGCTGGTAGACCTGGGTCCCTCATTGGTCGACCTGGGTCCCTCATTGGTCGACCTCGGCCCCTCGGGGTTCAGCCACTCCTGACCAGTTAATACAAGGATCAGACCAGTCGACGCAAGGAATCAGAGCTTCAGGCAAGGATAGAGTAAAGGAGGTAAAAGGATAGGACTATATTAAATACTACTCAATTTGCGATCTACTTGGCAAGTCTTCGTCGCGCTGTAAAGGAACTCTAGTCTGGCCACACGCCTGTTCCGGGGAAGGGATATATTTGGCCCCCCCGTTGAAGACAGGCGTGTGGTCCGACACAAGTGCGAGCTGAACCTCACGTGGCACGACTCCGTTACCCAAGAAGAACTTGCTCTAAGCTACTCACTGTTCCGGGAAGGGATATATTTTGGCCTCCCGTCGAAGACAGTTGTGTAGCGAAGTTCAAGGACGAATAGAGCTCCAGGATATATTTGGCCTGTGAGCTCGTTCGAGTAGCAACACCACCCAAGACCCGCTATCGGAAGCGGTCTCCCTCACCTCAAGGTACGGGAGCAACGTAAAGGTCAGGTGGTTAATACCCCTGAAACAGAAGGAAAAGGCCAGGGACGACAAGCGCCCCTGAAGAATTTGGCTCTAAGTCCACTCTCGACAAGGTCGATCGAGTGGCCACCTACCGGCCCACCGAGTGAAGCATATCCACTCGAGGCCCCCCAGGTCTACCTCTCTCAAGGCAGACGTCTACATCGTCACCAAGTCCTCCGAAGAGTGCAACCCGCCAGCCGACGGGTACACAAGGTGAGAGAAGGTTCATACGCGGCATCGGGGTACCCCCTCCGACAGTCGGCAGTCCGGCACAGTGAGTGGTTTGGGGTCTCATCATACAATTTTGAGAACCCACTCCACCACATTTAGGTCCTTAGTTCACAAACTCTGTTGCTACTCTAAGCCTACTGGATTCTTCGACTACACGTTTCTAATCGCTATATCGCGCATTACTCATGGGATAGCCGCACATGAGTAATCTACTCTACACACATGACTCATCAGATAGTCACTCATGAGTAATCCACGCTAGTGGTATTACTCATGGGATAGGCGCACACCTAACTAATCAGACCGTACATTCTTGTGGTTGCCGTTTGCATGCCGAGTCGCTTCTTTTACAACACTCCCACTCGACTCGGTAGCGACACCGACAGTGATGCCGAGTTTAGTACGGAGGATGGTGAACTGTGGCGCTGCGAGTGCCTTGGTCATGATGTCAGCGAGCATATCTTGCGTTGGACAGTACTGTAGCACGACTTGATTCTTTTCGACCTTTTCTCGCACGAAGTGGTAGCGAATGTCGATGTGCTTAGTGCGTTTGTGGAACTCTGGGTTCTTGGCCAACGCAATAGCACCTTGATTGTCTTCATAGATAGTTAGAGCGTCATCACCTGCTTCTTCACCGAGCTCACGCATGAACGTCTTGAGCCACGTCGCTTCTTGGGTCGCCTCCGACAGTGCCATGTACTCTGCTTCGGTAGACGAGAGCGCCACGCTGCGCTGTTTCTTGCTACGCCAGCTGATGCAGCCGTTGTTAAGCACAAATACGTAGCCGCTGGTACTTCGTCTAGTATCAGTATCTCCAGCCCAGTCGGCATCGGAATAGCCAAGCAACTTGCCATTGCCAGCGCCAATAAAACGAATACCAAGTG